GTATGTTGTGTATGTTGTGTATGTTGTGTATGTTGTGTATGTTGTGTATGTTGTGTATGTACCGTATGCTGCGTATGTTGTGTATGTTGCGTATGTACCATAATAGAATAGCTAGGATTTAATTTGATTCGCTTTAAGTATCTTTATATCTCATGAAAGTAATAAAGATAGCAACAAGCTTACAGTTCTCGATAACCTAAGTTGGCCTAAACCGACAAATATACTTTATGTACAGAAGCACACACATAAATTTGATATCCCAAGATTTCTCAGAATACCTAATCTAACTCAACACACTTATTGTTGTTTATGGTAGAAACGGCATTAGTTTTGAACAAACTTGGATTGAGTAATATATTTATTATTATGGACAATGCCACAATACACAAAACACCTGAAGTTCTTAGAGCAATCCGTGACCATGGACAAACACCACTTTTTTTTATTGCCTTAATCGCCTCTTTTGAACCCAATGGAAGTGTGCTGATCAATAATTAAAGATGAGGCGCGTAATATACCTTTTGGGAAGAACGAAATGTTTGCTGACAGAATTGAAGAGGCAGTTAAAAAAGTTGTACCTGAAGACTGTCAAGGTTAGATCCGCCATTCACGAGGATTATTTACAAAGTGTATGAACATGGAAAGTTGAATGTCGTTCCTAATTCAACCTTAGTTGCCTCCATTTTGACTTCAGATGTGGTACTAAGCTCTCTGGGCCGCACTTTTTTATTCATAGTTTTAAATTAATAACAATAAAATTCAAAGTTTTCTATATTTATATCTCTTTATAGCTTTCTAAGCCACGCATTCGTGGAACTAGTTATGGAGCATATTACAAACATTAATGAAAATGTGGCACAAGATCAACAAACTATCACACTACCAACGAACAATTGAAGATCAGAACAGAAGAAGCAGACAGAAGGTGAGACGATAACAATGAACTCCCTTCCAGCATCCTATCCGAAATGGAAGAAACCCCCTCGGCTGACATGCGCATCACGATCAAACGATACGCACAGGATATTCCCTTCTATGATGGTGGATCCTGGACAAGATCAGAAGTCATCAACAAAAGCTTTGTTAGTTACCTCAAGAGATACAAAGCGGATGCCCATTCAACCATTTCCCAAAAATACAAAGATGCTGATAGACTTAGACTTGCAGCCAGAGCAGCAACTGAAATCTTTGAAGATCTCCAATACGTCAAAAACCATGGAGGAGATCAGTCTGCCATTGACCAGATCATGGAGAAAACGAGACGCCTCTCCATCTACAGCTTTGTCAGTGCAAGACATATTGGCAAAGAAGCGAGAGAAATTACGACAAAATCACTCAGCCTTACCGAAAATGTCCAAGTACCTGGAAGACGACGACGAAGAAGACAGTCGTAAACAAATGGCATTCTCTTCCGAGATTGTCGAGAAGATTAATCAAGCAAGATTTGAACAACATGTCCTGCGTGCCGCTGCCAACAGAGGACATGATTATCGAGGACGAAGCTTCCAACGAGGCAATCCCTCTAACTTCGCAAGAGGACGTCCACAATTCGCCCCAAAAATTTTTTGGGAGGGGCAGGGACCGAAACACCACCAATACAGAACCTGCCAACATCACCACCACAAGCCACCAGCAGTGAGAAGCCCCTCGTCCTCGCTGATACAAGACTCAATGACCACTACGGGCCCACTAACAATATCACCGCCCATTCCTCCACAACATTATACAGTTCTGTCAGATGGCTCACTTCTAGGAGGTCGTCTACAACAGTTTGCACACAAGTGGAAAGAAATGGTGAATCACCCGTGGCCGGTGTCCGTCATATTCAAAGGTTATCGGATTCAGTGGTCTTCCAAACCAATTCCCTGGCGGCACAAAGAAATGACATTTACAACCGAAGAACAAGCAGCCATCGATTCAGCAGTGGAGAAGTTCCTTCAAGCAGGGATAATCGAGAGATCTCCTTCTCAATCAAGGCAATTCCTCTCCAACTTTTTTACGATCCAAGAGCCTACCAAAAAGCGCCCAATTTTAGATTGCCAAAAATTGAACAAATTCGTCCAATGTGTTTTGCCAAGTACAAAGGTAAGAGACAAAAACTAATATAAGAAGAGAATAAAAAAAGGACAATAAGTCAGTGAGACTGAAATATATGATATCTTTATTTACGATTAATAAAACAGTGATATTTATGCTTTTTAACATCTACAATCAATGATGATAATTGGATATCGTGAGCGTACCTATAAGCGTCCAGCTACAATGGGAATAACTGGGAAGAACCTAACTAGTATTAACTATTGGTTCGATGTATGTTCGAGGTGCCTTGTGGATGAGGTGATACATGATCTGACAATATCTTGTCGAATAAGGAACCGATGTCCTGGAAGTTAGAGCACAGACGTTTCATATGAATATTGTAACGGCGCCCTAAGAGTAAACTCACATATGATAGGTCATATATGGAAGAACTCCTAACCGAGTAACGATTACTACAAATATTTATTGATAATGTTGTGATGGCACAACACAATGCCAACACTTCAAAATGGAAGGAATTCCAGCTCTACGAGACATCATAGAAGAAGGCGACCTTATGGTAAAATTAGATTTGAAAGACGCGTACGTGGTCGTACCAATACACGAAGAATCAAGGCTTTTCCTTTCATTTCTTCACAAGGATGTCGTTTACCAATACCGCTCACTGGCTTTCGGGTTGAGTGTGGCTCCGAGAGTCTTCTCAAAGCTGATGCGGTATGCAGTAGAACCACTCCGGAAACAAGGTATTCGCTTAGTCTACTATCTGAACGACATCTACCTCTTGGGAAAATCGACGAACGAAATGAAGAAGATTACCAAAACAGTAATCAATTATTTAACATCACTGGGCTGCTTGATAAATTGAGAAAAGAGTGTGTCAACTCCATCACAATCACAGGACTTCCTAGGTTTCAATTTCAACACCAAATCGATGAGAATCAAGGCTCCTCAGGAGAAGTTGAACAAAATTATACAGCGTTCAAGAGAGGCCATGAAATCTACAAACATCAGATCCTGCCGTTGGGTGGCAAGCCTGATTGGGAAAATGACGTCAGTAATCCCAGCGATCGGTGAAGCCTTACTGCATGTTCGACATCTTCAGCGGGACCTAATGAAGAACTTAAGGCTGAATGGCAACAAAAGTTGGGAAGGACCATGCCCGATTTCCAAGAACAGCCTACAGGACTTACAATGGTGGGAAAACTGGTCAATGAACAAAAACGGCTTACCAATCCATATGGTATCTCCGGAGACCTTGACGCCAGCTCTAACAATCCACGTAGATGCTTCAAATACGGGCTGGGAAGTGAAATCGGAAATACTAGAGACCTTGGGATATTGGACAGAGGAAGAAACGAGATTTCAATCAATGTAAGGGAACTGAAGACGATCTACTTTGCTTTAAAACCCCACGCACCAAACGTCAAAAACTCGACAATACGACTGTTCTCCGACAATCGAATTGCCCTAAAATACGTAACGAAAGCAGGAGGAACAGCATCGTACCTCCTCCAGACACTTGTGTTAGAGATCCAGGACCTAACGAACGAATACTATCTAACGGTCCTGTACCATCACATTCCAGGAGTAGAGAACATCAAGGCAGATCAACTCAGCCGGAAAAAACTCCCTCTATTCGAATGGAAGCTCCCAAAGAAATGGTTCAAGGCAATCGAGCGTTACTGGGGGAGACGAGCGATCGATACGTTTGCTACCCGACAGGGCTGTCAAGTGAAAACATTTTGGAGCTGGTTACCGGATCCGAAGGCAGCAGCCACCAACGCATTCAACCAAGGTTGGCCGAAGAGGGGCTTATATCTCCATCCACCATGGAAACTGATTCCAAAAGCGCTTCGACATTTCAAGAAACAGCGCGTCCAAGAAGCAGTACTGGTGGCACCATTGTGGACAACACAGTACTGGCATCCTATGATCTTACGGATGACACGCTCACCGCCAATTGTGATGAGAATGAACAAGCATTGGACATTAGCCGCTTGGAAGCTATCAATCAAGGACGTGTAGACATGGACATCGACTTAGACACTTCTCCCTTCCTGAACCAACGTATACGGAAACGAACATTGTAAACGTACAATCAAGGCTGGCAAAAATGGATGCGTTGGTTTGTATTGCAAGAATCAAAAGTCGATTCTTTAGCCTACGACCCAAAAAAGATTTTGCGATTCTTTATGGACTACTAGTCGTACTCCATCCAGCAACTGAAAGTTTACCGGGCAGCAATTGCTTCTGTTTTTCGGGTCTTATATCCACACATGCTTCCAATCGCCAGTAACGTCATAATTCAAGACTTTTTTCAGGCGAAGCTAAAAACGGTAGTCAAGTTACCGCAACAAGCACAAATTGAAACCTGGGACTTGTCTATTTTGACAAAGTATATTATAACCAATTTCAGCGATGGCACTTCGCTTACATTGGCAAACCGCAGCAGAAGACAATTCTCTTACTATGTACTGCAACGATGTGGAGATCAAGATCCGATATCGGTATCTTGCAAGCATGGAATGTTCACTTCAAATTTGAAAAGGATGCAAATCTCACTGGTGCTACATTGTTCATCAGGACTCCGAAGGAAGCTCAGCAAAAACACTGAGCCTTTGGCGCCTTATTCGAAAGGTCGATGTGTCCTGTATTTACATTGTTAACTTTCATAGAAAAAACAGAAAATTTACGTACAGCAGTCCCAGTCGAACATACGATGTTCTTAGCATACGTCAACAATCCCAGCAAAATGCGATCCATTCAACCAAGCACAGTAGCAAATATTGTCAAGCAAGCTATGCAAGAGACTGGCATCGACACACAGGTATATGGACCCCACTCACTCCGTTCAGCACCAAACACAAAAGCTGCCCAATTGGGTCACAGGATAGACGACGTTAAAAAGTATGCGAATTGGAGTCTCTCCGCAGACACTTTCGAAAGATTTTATTTCAAACCACCTCATCAAGTGAGGACAAGCAAACACATAACAGATTTCTTTTTTTCTTCGTCGGAGAATAGTACCACATCTGAAGTCGAAGTGGAGGCAACTATGGTTGAATTAGGGGCGACATTCAATCGTACAGTTGCCGAAATGGAGACGAAAGATGTGGCACTGTGCTTCCACTCTCAATTTACTGAATTTTTGAAAACTTCGTCCACTTTTTCAAATAATTTTGGACATTTGTGTGAGGTTAAATTGCCCAGAAAAAGGAGACTTGTTTGACCATATGTTTGAAGCTCGCTTGCCCATCTGTTTAAAAACAAATTGTCCAATAATTTGATCCATTTTGGTCTAAATGATAGATTTTGTATTTATTCCAAGATGGTATTTGATTATTTAATATCAGCAACACTAAAGTCTGAAAACTGCAATATGGTGTGTATAAAGCAGTGTCCTTTTTACATCTATTCTTTAAATGTTCATAGATTAGAGAAAGTATGCTTTTATTTAAAAATAATGGAATCAACTGAGAATGGAACATAGCTCCTCATGTAATAAGCTGATCAGACTGTTGCCATATTAAAGCCAAAAAAATATACTTGAGGAACAGTACACAAAAAAACAATAAGATTTTATTTTATGGCACAAGTAATGTTGGGGTAGAGAAGGGGTGGAGAACTAAACCTACAGAGACGAGCTCTACAACTAGCATCTTAGGCAACATGTGCAGTGAGAAGAATAAACAGAGAGGAAAGATCACATTCGTTTAAGCCTGAAGAAAACAGAGTATTAATATGCGGTACTATTGAAAATGTTAAAATACAAGGAGAAATAAATAAATAAAAAGCGTCGCTGTTCAATTAGCACTTATCTTATATTACGCAAATAAAATAAGATTCAAAGATGGAAGACTCTCTGCATCCACATCTGAATTGTTGAAAATAAGGATGTAGGGCGGCATCAAACTTCAATTATGTTAAAGGATAGTGCAAAATCTAATCCACATAAAGGAAGCGTGACTTGGCAGAGGGTACGAAGCTGCTTCAAACTATTATCTGTGTTGAAAGTGTATAATTTTATAGCATTTCCGTTAACCACAGCTTCCTAAAAACGCCAAAACTAATGATCCTTTACTCTAAAAAGTCACTATAAGAAACAAGTTTTTCATATGTTTTCAGTGAACTTACCAAAAACAAAATCTGATTGAAGTTCATAGATTCAGTCAGATACTTCAAAAAATTAAATTAATAATCCTAATATCAACAACATTTAACATGGGAACTCTTAAAGCTATTGAACGAAATTAGAAATACCTTGGGAATTATCATCAATTCGTATAAACTCCAAACTGTGATCTAATGCCAGCTAAAATTGAGGGCATCAACTTGTTCCGACAATAAGATATTGCTGTTTGACGATTTAATTTTAAAGCTTGATAAAGTAAATAAAATAAAAGAAGAGGGAACTAGGTAAAAAATCTTGCAAGGGTGAAAGGAAATGCATATTTAGAATTATGTGTCCTAGTATTTATGTCATCAATTGAACTTTTTTTTGTCCTTCTGTTTAATTACAACTATGCCGAAGGAAAAACAAAGACGAACTAGAGTAATCGGGCTCCCAAAGAACTACAAATATAAAGATTGGTTGCATTCTGCCCTAAATATCGCTGAACCAGCCATCGACTACTTTAAATTTGCTGATACTTTTGGTGATTCTGAGAGTACCACTAATCATCATTATGCAGATCTGTTGACAAAATTATCAACCGGCCAAAGTAACAGACTAACAAAGATAAGTACAACAGCAAAGAAACTTTATAATGTAAGTATATATATATATGTATATATAAAACATTGCTAATAGTTTTTATTAGTCTCGAAATAGTCTAGACACCGATTTCGGAAAGCAATATAAACAATATTGGGAAATGAGAGACACATTAAATATTCAAAAAGCTCTGCGAAACGAAAACCAGAGAACGATCATACATCTAAATGAATTAACTAATAAAGAAATCAGAAACCTCGCTGAAAAGGTATTGCTTCAACCTATAGAAGTTCAATAAATAGTGTACTAAAGAATAAATCGTTGGTTTTATAAACCAAATAGACTTACAATATAAATGAATCGATTAATGAAGCAGATGAAGATTATGAAACTAACGAGACAGAAGGAGAGCATGAAGAAGAAATCAACGATGAAAGTAGCATTGCGGAGAAGGTAATACCACAAACCGCAAATCTCGCGTCAGATGAGTAAGTATTTGTTAGCGTTAATATCTTCGTTCATTTACACAATTAATCATATATATCAAGCAGAGTCGGTAAATTGAAAATCATTGATCTATCATCAAGTGCGGCTGTGGATATTTTGAAGACAGAAACTTCTGGCGATCAAGTTGAGTCAATACTTGAAGCAACAAAGATACATCCAATTACAATGTCTACCGAAGCTTGTAATCTTATCAAATGCCTCAATGATGCGACTTTATCGGTACAAGAATTACGAAAAACATTGTATCGTCATGGATTTAATGAAAACTTTGATCTAATCGCCAATCATAATATGGGCTTCCTAGAAGTAACAACAAGGCATTTGTAAGCGGCACAAAAGCAACCTTTAGTTGACATATTATTCATTATTACATATCACTAAACCACACGTCTATAGTTTAGATTTGATGAATTCCCCTAATAATCCTCTGAACAAAATCATGCTGGAAAGAACGGCAGCAACATTCTTATAATATTTATTGTTAATCAACTATTTCTTCCCGATAATGATATTATCGAGGCAGGATGGCTGGAAAGAGAATTTTACTCCACAGAAAAAACAAAATTTGATGGTATTTTGTTTAAAGTTGGGAATAAGACGATTGTCGCGGGATTATTAGAATTTTCCGGAGGAGTAAATGACCGAACTCCATCATCAAAAAACGTAAGAGATATTGAAAAGCTGTATAGTTCTATGATTAAAGCTATGAAAGACCGTGAAGATACCAAGATGTTTTGTATTAGATGCTATGGTAAGAATATACCTTATTTAATTACATTTTGTGCTAAATCTCCCTTTTTACGATAGATCACAAAATTTTTTTCGAAAAGCTTATTAAACATGATGGAATGCTATATAGAACAGTGGATATTGACATGGAGATTCCTAATACCCCGAGGAAATTATTAGCGTATATTAATAAGATTCCGAATATACTCGCATGGAAACAGGCTGTAATTAACCATACTCTTAACTTGGATTAATATCATAACTCACAAAGCCTTCTTTCTCATTATTAATCATAATATAATATGTATAATCTATTGCTCCAATACCATCTTGAAATAAGCATAAAATCTATATTTAAACTTTATGTAGCGTCATATTTAATCTACTGTTAGAAGCATTCTGATCAAATTATTGGACAATTTGTTTTTAAACAGATGGGCAAGCGAGCTTCAAACATATGGTCAAACAAGTCTCCTTTTTCTGGGCAATTTAACCTCACACAAATGTCCAAAATTATTTGAAAAAGTGGACGAAGTTTTCAAAAATTCAGTAAATTGAGAGTGGAAGCACAGTGCCACATCTTTCGTCTCCATTTCGGCAACTGTACATCTCTATTTTACACTTTATTCAGAAATTATTCGCACACTGATGGAAAAATGATAGTTTCAGACAACAAATAGCAATAAAAGAGAGCCCATAAGAAGCAAAAAACGAGATATAAAAGAAATAATTAGTAAATCAGTTATTTACATTAATATCCAATACTTACGTTATAAATAAGGGGATTTATCGGAGAAAAAAGAGAAGCAAAAAAAGTGAGTAAAATTATAAAATTAGTAGTATCTTACCCGAAGTACATCATGGGTAGATCCAGCGATAACCAGTCCGGAGAAGGTGACGAGGAAAGAAGAAAAAGAGGGTAAGAGAGAGAGCAAGAGAGAGAGCGTGGATGGGGCTAAAGTTTGGTAAGAACTAAACTACCCCCAGCTAGCACCGGTACTGTTTTCGATTTTATGATCTACAATACTATATATTAGCTTCTTACAAGAGTAAAGAATAAAGCATACCTTAGTTCTAGCTGGGGAATAGCTGGCCTAATTTTGGTCTAAAGAAGAAAAGAAAAGAAAAAGAGGACAAGATCAAACTATTTATATGAAGCCTTTAATAACTTTTTCAGTTACGTGCTTTTTATAAGTGCTGACCACATTTATTTTACGTATCTCTCAAAAAGACAGAATTCATTGTCTTTTTAATAGCAAAGAAAAGGTTGATAATCAACTAAAGTGTAGTTGCTATTGGTTGCATGAAGAGACGAAAAGGAGCATTCTTCCTACAGCTATAGTATAATTCAAACTGCGCTTTACGCACCCTTTTTTGTGTGGCGATTTCATGCTGAAAGCTTGGCTTTTTTTCTTGTTTCTATTTATTATCACTAAAACATGGATCCTGATAATACAACAGTACCTGGAGACCAACCTATGGAGGAAGAGATGTATTCTTCTTGGGCGCTTTTGATATTTATGACGTTGCTAATGGGAGCCTTGTGGACAAGTTACTTTTTACAACTAAGAAAGATTCGTGCAGTTCATGAGACAGTCATTTCGATCATGGCAGGTCAGTTTCAATAAGTTATTATAGTCTCTTTCTGTATTGATACGTTTAAATAGGTATGATTGTTGGATTAGTCATAAAACTTGCTCCAGGAACAATAATTCAAGGTATGGTCAAGTTTAAGGAAGGTGTGTTCTTCAACCTATTACTTCCACCCATCATACTGAACTCTGGTTATGAACTCAAGAGAGTAAAAAGAGGAAAAAAGAAAAAGAAGACAATGAAAGGCCATTAACCAGACTGACTGCAGTTTTATGTAGCGTAACTTCTTTTTGAATTTTGGAACCATTTTAATATTTGCCATGGTGGGCACCTTTATCTGCGCCATTGTTACTGGGTAAGTTAAATAGATCTTGGCAAAATATTAACTGACAGACGAATACTATAGTGTATTGACATTTATCTATGCGCTTATCAATCCAGAAGGTCTGAATATAAGCTTTTTAGATAGCATGATCTATGGTTCAATTTTATCAGCCACAGATCCAGTAACAATATTAGCCATCTTCAATCAGCTTCATGTAGACCCCCAGCTATTTTCTATTATTTCAGGAGAATCTTTGCTGAATGATGCCGTTGCTATCGTCTTGTCAGAGTAAGAAGGACCAGATGTAAAAAGGGCAATTTATTAAAAGCCTATTATTAGCACACTCCGTCATTTCCGTGGTCAAGAACTACATGCAGTCAATATCCTCAAAGGTATTGGCCTTTTCTTGGGTGTATTCTGGGCCTCAACACTGATAGGTATTATCTGCGGTGTACTGGTTGCACTAGTCATGAAGTTCTCTCAGCTCCACAAGTTTCCAAACATTGAAGCTTGCTTTGTTCTATTAATGGCCTACAGCAGCTATTTTTTCTCTAATGCAATTCAAATGTCTGGTATCGTCACACTACTTTTCACGGGCATCACACTCAAGCATTACGCTTATGATAACCTCTCTTTAAAGAGCAAGCGAGCAACCAAGTCCATATGCCAGATACTATCCCAGCTTTCTGAGAATTTCATTTTTATCTACCTGGGCGTTAACCTCTTTACACAAGACGATCTGGACTATAAACCTCTCTTCATCATTATTACCTTGGCATTCATCTGTATTGCTCGTTATGCATCTGTGGCACCTCTCTCTATCCTGATCAACGCTGTGTGTAGAGCTTTAGGCAACCCCGAACAGCTACCCAGGAATCATCAGATCATGCTTTTTTGGGCTGGACTTAGAGGGGCCGTAGCCTTTGCGCTTGCTTCAGGTATCACGGGTGAAAGTGCGCCTGCGATGCGAACGACTATCCTGGCTGTCGTTGTGCTCACAGTGCTCCTCTTTGGTGGCACAACTAGCCGAATGCTTCAAATACTTGATATTAAAACAGGCGTTGCTGAGCCTGATGAGTCTGGTAGCGAAGATGAGGAGGGAGAAGAAGATGGTAGGACAGGCAATTATCAAAGAGTCAATAATTTTGAGCCATCAACTCAGCGTAAGCGGCAATTTGACGAAAATGATGTCTCCATCGGCGGTTTACTCTCGGGACCACTTGGAGAGCCTATTATCGAGGACCGTGCGCCTCACTGGTTTGTATCATTTGATGAAAAATGGCTAAAGCCCGCTCTGACAAAGAAACATGTTCAAAGAAATCAATCCTTGGCTGAGTACTGGAAAGAAAAAAGAAGAAAAATGGAAAGGGCCAACAGAAACATGTTGGACGGTATTCGTTCGTTTCCATTTGATGAAGACCAAAGTGATGCAGTGACCCTTAATTCCGTCAAGGCAACTACAAGCAAGCCCATCTATAACAACAGAAGCTCACCAAAGATCGTCGTAGGGTCAGGTAGAATGTTTGGTCGATCGCCGACTCATGAGTCGGATGAAGAAGTATGAGATGTTACCCTCGCATGAAAAAAAAATATACTTGATATTCCCCCTTTTTTTTATGTATATTTTCTAGAAGCCACTAATAAAGCTATCATTACTGAATAATTATCCCTTTTTTATAGTTTGTTTTCTCTTCAGTATAAATAATATCAAAGAGAAGGATGGATCTCAGATTATATACTTGTCTTAGGCTCCTAGCTCTGGTGGGGTTAGCAGCTGTTGAGTAACTCCATCGACAACTTTAGAAACTTGGGTACTGGTCGCTAAGGCAAAATCGGTAGCACAATTCAAGTATTCGTTACTTGTATCATTTTCTTCTTCATTAAGCTGTCTACAACTTTGTGGATGCGCAGCTCCATTAGCGGCACCTTCAACTAATTCTTCTAGTGAGGTAACTCTTTTAGTTATTGTACGAACAACGGCAGCAGTAATCGAAGGGATGAGAGCGAGGGTAGTCAGTAGGCAAAAAGAGAGGACAGACGATCGCATGGCTGTTTAATAAAGTAGAAAATGAAAGATAAGAATTAAATCGCAACTAATTTATATTTTATTCTGTACAATATGCAACTTCTCTCCTTCACTAAGGAATAAACTTAGTGCGCTCCAAAGATTACTTGAGGTATAGGCATCAGTGGTTATTCCATTTTGGAAATGTGCAATAATGTCAATCAAAAAAAAGCGAGTTTTGCTTGTACAGATACTCTTGAAAACGTCTTGGTTATCACTATTGACATGATCCTTTGACAATTTCTGTTATTTGCATAGAACTATTTTACTAATTTAACTAGACATATCTTTGAGTACTTCATAAAGAGCTCATTGATTTAATTTGTAAATTTTGTAATCAATGTCTGGTAGATTAAAAAAAAAAAAAAGAACAAAGGTTTATCTTTGACGGAACAAAACAATAAGCTAAGCATAACAAAGAAAAGAAGGGGAAATGATACACCAAGTAACCATAGCAACAAAAAAGTAAAGTCACAGACTGTTTTTCGTTGTCACAGAGTGACTTTTTTATTTTTTGAACAAAAAAAGTAGGGCAGCTTTTTGCAACTTTACTATTCTATTACAAATGGCCAAAAAGGGAGACAAGAACAACAGAAGATCGTCAATAGCAGAGAATATGAAGAAAAGCGAAACTATAGAAATAGCAAATGGAGAAGCTGATCATAGTAAATTCAGCGTGATTCGACAGGGTAACGAATATAATGTCCCAAAAGAGATTAAGCACTGGAACGAATTAAAGCAAGAATGCACAACAACCGAAGAGATCCACAACACAGTGAGACGTTTGCCTTTGGATAATGTTTTACCTTTACTACAAGAACTATTAGAAAAATTCGATGTTCAGCAAGCAAGAGATACAGAATTAACGGAATGGATCAAGGCTGTCCTTTTGACACACACAGCTTATTTTATGTCGCTACCGGAAATTGTGCAGCAATTGTCTGATCTATATAATGAGCTGAATGTTCGATTGACTGTATATCCCAAACTGCTAGCTATGCATGGTCGACTGGGGCTTATACAAAGACAAATTGATTATCGCAATCGTAAAGAAGAGGATGAAAGTGAAGATGAAGATGAAGAGGATGTGAAAGTGTTTAGTGAAAGTGAAGATGAGGATGCTGAAGATGATGCTGTGGCCTATGGTGATGAAGAAGACGATGAAGACAATGATGATTTAATGGATATTGATGATAGTCACGGCCATGACAATAATAACGATGAGGTAAGATTCCCCCTTTGTTTAACCTTTACATGCTTATACTGGCTATATTTTATAGGAAACCATGTTTGCTGAGGAAGAAGAGGATTATCTGAATACAGAAGACGAAGAAGATGAAGAAGATTTGAGTGAAAGTGAAGCTGAAGAGTAATAATAGATAGTCATGTGTAATAAAAAGCCTGCATTTATCCCATTTGATAACCCTGAAACGTAATTGATTCTTGCACAGACGTCTGATTGGACTGAAAAAAAGGCTCACAGTTATGACACGCATACACACACAAACATGAGGCTTTCATAGTGTCACAGCCGAGACTTTTTTATTTCTATTTTAAGTCAGTTGTCCGTTTGGGTACCTTTTCAAAATGATTATACTACTGCTGTTTGAATGATGACGCCTATCATAGAAACGATTAAATATCAAATACAGAGTGAGTATGTTTAAAGGCTTAAGCTCATGCAGGTTTACGCGTAAGAGACTTTGTAACACCGATAGGATGAATGAGGTCACAACCTAAAATAGAACAATAGAGCTCTTTTTTTCCTCTTTTTTCTTCTTCTTTATATACCATCCTGTTATGCCAGTTATAAACCATTTAGCCAACAAAGTTAAACATAAGCTACGAGAAACAGTAAGCTGTATAGTCAATCCAGATGCTAGTAAACTAGACGAGGAAGAGGAGGAATATCTTGCTGAAGGGCACAGATATGATTCATTTGCTCCCGTAAGGCATGATGCAATGGTTAAATTTTTTATTGATGGCCACGATTATTGCTGGTAATCAAAATTATATTATACCTGACATCCAATTTATGATATGTGTTACAGGGCTGTATCAGAAGCTATTGAGAATGCAAAAGAAGTCATCTTTATTGCAGATTGGTGGCTGGTAAGTAACAAGAAAGAAATAGAAATGTATTCACCTATTGACTCCTTTTTCTATTTTCTGTAAAATATAAAGTCACCAGAGCTGGTAAATCAAAAATCGTTATATTAAATAGTTCCTCTAATGAAAGTTTCTTAGTACCTCCGAAGACCCCCAGCCAAATATCCGCAATATCGAATTGATAATTTACTAAAGAGAAAGGCAGAAGAAGGTGTTCTTATTTACATTGTTGTATACAAGGTATCACAGGGATACACTATAGGATGAGCACTATCTAAACACTACGTTCAGGAAGTCGAGATGGCAATGACACTGGATAGTGCCTATACGAAGAAGAAATTACAGGATTTGCATGAGAATATTGTAGGTAAAGTGTGCATAAAAGATTATGCATAATGCACGTGCGTTACTGATCATGAGCATAGTGCAAAGGCACCCTGATCATGCAGTCGGAGGAACATTCTTTTGGTCTCATCATGAAAAGTTTGTTGTAATTGACAATCGTATTGCCTTTGTGGGTGGAATTGACTTATGCTATGGGTAATAATAACAAAAAGGCAAGATAATATCAGAAATATTAATCTTTATTATAGACGCTGGGATACGCATGCACACCGGTTAGCAGACTTTCATTCATCCGATCCTACTTTAGAAATATTCCCTGGTCAAGATTATAGTGATGCACGCTTACGAGACTTTGAGCATGGTAAGAATGATATGATGTTGAATTAGATATATGTATAACCAAAGAGTATCTCAGTTAATGAATGGGATCTGAGACTTGTAGACAAGACAGTTATTCCTAGAATGCCTTGGCACGACATGGCCTTATGCATGGTAAGTACAATGAACAATAAAAGTCGATAATATTTAACCATAATCGAAATAGTTAGGTCATCCAGTCTTGGATGTTGCACGTCACTTTTGCGACAGATGGAATTTTATTAAGCAATCAAAGGCACTGGACAAAAGACATGTGCCTTTCCTAAAGCCACCTGCTGGTGGTTACAGTAGTTACCAAAACTTCAAGATCCCTCTGGAGAGTAGATTGTTGCGATCCTACCACTATGGTCACTCAACCCATGGCGTTCAAGGCACATGTCGAGTTCAAGTACTTCGTAGTAGCGCAGAATGGAGTTCAGGCATTAAATTAGAGGTATACAATACTGTTGATTAAAAGGAGCAGCCCCTCTCATTCACCATAGCATTCTATTCAAAACGCTTACATTGATGTCATTACACAAGCAAAGCATTACATTTACATAGAAAACCAATTCTTTAGTAAGTCTATAAAAAGTAGGTGCATGAAAAACGTGTCCTTATATGTCTTTTTTAGTTACAACAACTGAAAAAGATGATAATTACATCATAAAAAATCAAATTGGAACTGCCATTGTGAACCGTATTATTAAAGCTCACGAGGAACAAGAAAAATTCAAGGTTTTTGTGCTGATTCCTTTGATGCCTGCTTTCCCCGCTGAATTAAGCACCAAGGATGCAGCTACAGCAAGGTATTCTTTTTATAACATACATGTACAGTCATAACTTACACTATGATGTGTTCTTTAGACTGGTTATGTATTATCAATACGTTTCCATATGTAGTGGACCTAAAAGTATTTATGAAAAGCTTCGAAAAGCAAACATAAACCCCGAAGATTACATTCGCTTTTACAGCTTAAGAAGCTATGACCGAATCAATCGCCCTATAGTCGAAGAAATGCTTGCAAGAAGCGCAGGATATACATCTTATGATGCCCTAGGCCGAGTCATTTTGAATGAACAAGAAAAAGAGGAAAAGGAAATTCCACCTGCTGGTTTTGTTCTTCCACAAGATCGACCTCCCAGAGAGGGGTTCACTGCTGCTACGTCAATTGCACCAGATGCGATGGATGGTGGACATAAGGTGATGAACGAACCTTGGGTAAGCGACAGGGCGAATTATCAGCCTAGAGATGATATCCATGAAAAGCAAGAAGCTAGTGATTATGTAACAGAAGAACTGTACATTCATGGAAAACTACTTATTGCAGATGATCGTGTGGTTATCATGGGCTCTGCTAATCTGAACGATCGTTCACAATGCGGTGATCGAGACTCAGAAATTGCAGTTATTGTGGAAGACCAAGAGATGATACTCTCTCGTATGAACAATCAACCAGTAAGGGAAGCTTTACTATCTGTATTGGAGCTAATGATGACTATATAGTATGAAGCAAGTAGATTCGCAGCTACCCTTCGACGTCAATTGTGGAAAGAACATTTAGGTCTGATCAAAGAGGAAGAAATGGATTTTGTTACACCGGCTATGCTGCCATTGCCTGTGCCCCACGTGGATTTGACTCAGACCAAGGAGGACCACTGGGTGATGGATCCTCTTGATGAAGAAACACTCATACGATGGAACAAGACTGCAGCAACAAATACCCTTGCTTTCCGTAACGTTTTTCACTGTGTCCCTGATGATACATGTAAGTACTTAATTAAAATGGAAAATCCAAAAATAACCAAGTATCTTTTAGTGACAAACTGGGATGAATATCATGCATTTTACCCCGATCCAAGCAAGATTAATCTTGGTCATGTTTATGATCCCAGTATGCCTGTTCAAGAAATCAGAGAAAATTTGGACAAGATTCATGGTCACCTTGTTGAGTTCCCTACCCAATTTTTACGTTTTGAAGACCTGCAAGGAAGCTCATTACCCATCGTAGGAACAGCTGTACAAGAATTATACACTTAAACCATCATTATACATAATATAGTTTGCTAAAAATAAAATCAAGTGTCTGATTTTTTTTCAGTACGCAAACGTGGTTCATGGGGATCAGAGGATAAGCCAACAAGGGAAGATGTCGTTCATCTATCTCTTCTATGATTAAAACTGTTTTCCGCTGTTTTAAATAAATTCAACGGTCTCCGGATATTTTATTCAACCGAGAAAAACTTTTTAGAGAGAGCATTGTTCCTTTCTTTTTTTTTAAACTTAACCATGCCTCTTCCACTATCCTCATTTGCATCTATACTTAGTACAAGCAAGCCTTTATTAGGTAAAGCCATTGGTCCTTTAGCTACTTCAACTATCATACGTCAGCAACAACAGCAATCAAATGAGATAACAGAAAGCTCAATTCTTAATTCATTCCCAAGACCTAATTTGCAACCAACACTTAATTTAAAGAATATCAAGGTCACCACCTGCTTCAACTGCGAGGGGCCACACTCCACCGAGTTTTGTCCTTGTTAAAGAAAGAGAGAAAAAGGGGGAATATGTGTATATTGTATTTATTTCTTAAAGACTGTAACAATAGTAATTCGCTTCATAATTTGTATTTTTGTCAAAGTAAACATGTACGTAATAATATGTAAAACAATCAATAAATGTAAACTGGGCTTGTCAGGAACAACAGACCATTACATCACACAAAACGGCCAAACTCAGCCTTTTTATGAATAAATTTGTCAAATATGCGTTGTTAAAGTAAATGTGACAATTAATCACAACAATGAAATAAACTCTCGTAATTTCTATTTATTTGCTAAATTGGAAATTGAATATAGAGGAAAGAAGCTGGGGCATCAACAATTGGAAGAACAGCAAAGAGCCTTGACGGAAGAGTTGATCTAGATTCGAAGATACTTGGTTAATTTTGAATGCGTCAGAATTTTAAGTTTATCATATGTACATAAAGCCCATAGACTGTTTAATGGTAATGAATACAAGTGAGATATGGAGGAACAAACGAGTGAAATCCGAAATAAAAGAATGTATACACAGCAGAATAAATCCATTCTCATTTCATCTCGTTAGATTTCTTTATCTAGCCAAAGATAAGTACTACAGTCCATACAAGACTTTATCTACACATCATATGTCTTGTTATAGAGTTACCATATTACCGCGTATATGAACAAATGTTGGAAAACAAGTGTAGAGACTAAACACAAGATAAAACGCAGAATATTAAAAAATGTCCTTTGAGTTCTTCACGGCCTTGAAGGCTCAGGACCCTGATGTCGTACAAACTGATCACATCGTTTCCCGACACTGTATCCGAAAGTGATTGCGCAGACAGATTTGAAAATACCTGTGCTAAGGCTTCTCTTCAATCTTTTTTTGTCAGTGGCACGAGACCAATGTTCTGTCAAGTTCTGTATTGCTGTGACATGTTTTGCACTTCATCTTTATAGTGACGTCTATACATTTGCACCTTAAGCGTACGTCGTAGATGCAAAGGTAAGGGCTTAATGATTTTTCTTAACTTTGCTAAGCTTTATACTGTTATGGCTTGATTTGAATTTCGCCTTTATAAAGCGACGTCGGATCCATGAGACTTTTGGCTGTGAGTGGTGAAATGCAGAGGGTGTACTTTATGGTGGTCAGTCCTATTTTCTTTATGGGCACATTCACAAGACAAAATATCTCTGTAGTAATAATGTATCAACTACTCTCCATTTTATTCCTTTAATAATGATAATACTTTTGATAGTGATAGACGCAGCTTAGTCCAGCCATCCTATTCTACAAGCTATACACTCTTTCCGGAAAGTAAATTCGCTTGTGATCGAAAATAAATGCATCCAATGGTGAGAACAAAATTCATGCTGTACGAAATGTAAATTCATAGTCGCCAAGAATATTTTCGTAGTATCAGCCTTGACATCCATGGATATACTGTATTTCCAAATTGAGATGTCGTATTGAAACCATTGTAATGTTATCAGAGTAATAACAAATATAAAAAGAATATGACTCACTATCCCATTTGACAGTAATACTAACAGGTGGGCTGTCTTGGAGTTGAAATTAACTTAATATTAGAAATAGCCCTCTTTAGTCTCTTTGCAAAAGTTTAAATTCTTTATTAGGTTTTTCCACGAAACCAGAAGAACATGTAGTCATATTTGGCAGTGCATATTATTGAATGGTCACGAAGCAGATTGCTCCTATTTCCTTTTTTTTTTTTTTTTTGTTTAAATAATCCTGGGTAGTTATCGCTACTCTCCACAAAATGCACCTTGGTGGTAAGTAAAACTAGCATTAGGATATATGCCCTAATACTAACATACTTTTTCTCTCTTTTTCTACATATACTCATTATCTCTCTCTCTCTTGACATGATGCGTTTTATTCAAATGTATTTTTCTTTGTCATCTTTTTACGTAAATAATTTTTTTTTTTTATTTTATGACAATATTTTATAAGATTAATGTCAATAATTAATAAAAAACACAGTAACTTGATGACATTCGCCTGTTACTCTTTGCTTGAAAAAGTAAAAGGTATAATTTTTTCAGGAAGACTTTTTATTATCAACACAGGCTTATTGAAAGAAGTAAACTTAGAATATACTTATTGTTAATTACTTGGCTTATTCTACATTACCATGTTCTGTGCTTCTCGTTCAATAAAGTAACAATCCTAAAAATGTTCTTTCACCTGAGTCTTAGCTTACTATACCAGACTCAACAATGATAAGGTATATATAGTAATAAATGCGTAACATTAGCTCAATCGCATGGGTTGATGTGTTCAAACTATCTATCTAAATGATTGTTGCCTTCTATTCTATTTACTGAAGCAAAAGGGTTGCTATTACGTACAGAAATAAACTTTATCAACTAAAAAGTATGCTTTTTATTGCTTAATGATAATGCTTGCTCCATGACTACATCTCTCCATTTCAATGCTAATGAAACCTTATTAGTGAAGTAAAGAAGGTGGTGAGAAGTGGACGGGCGGATGATGGAAACCACGATGTCACTAACAAGATAGCTGCCTCTGTACCGAATCAGCTGATCAAAGTAGACATACTCGTCTAGTTTAGCGTAGACATTACTATGTGCACACCGTAGCGTTAATAAGAGATTTATCTTGCTGTAGAATCTAGCACAAAAAACTCGTTTTTGCTTTGATTCTAGAATATTTTCGAGCAGCTTAGGCAAGTTTTCATAAAGCTTTTCAACATCGTTAAGCTCTTTCGTACTCGATATCTTTTTTAGACCGCCGAGGATTCCACTAGAGCAATTGTGATTAAGTGGTCTGTGATATTGTACAACAAATAAGTTTACCTCGAAAGCATAAAAGTACAGGTGGATGAAATGAGCCACTTTTCAGCCATTTATAAACAGAGAAAGATAAAGATTCATGGCAAAAGGAGGAATCAGTCTTTAAACGGAAGAATAAATGCTGTCAACATCTAATCAATTGTGTTAATATGACGCGCCATCAAATACTACAGACTACAGATGCTGTGGCTCAGTGTTGTGGGCTTAATACGAGGCATTATATTAATATCGAATAAGAAGGTGCACCTTGGTGAAAATAAAAGCTAATACTGGAACATATGCTCTAAAATACAAACTAAATAAAGAGTACAACATGATATCAACTGACATTTCATGTGCCTGGTGTTTACTTAGTGCTAAATCCTTTTACGCGACGCGACAAAAAGATTTAGCAAAGCGACATTTATTTTTCAAGGAACGACAATAGTTACAGTTCGCTCTTTATCCAATGTAGCACTTGTGTATGGTACACGCAATCTTTTTATGTACATCACTATCTGCATTTTAGTAGGATCTGCTTCAGTTATGTCTATAAAGATGCTCGGCATTGCTCTTGTATTGGTCCCCAAGGGGAAAACAAGTTTGTACACATGTTCACACATATGTTCAGTCTAACTATGGCTGCTTGTAGTGTAGTACAAGTGAATTACTTCCACAAACCTTTGAAGCAATTTTCAGTAAGCGTGCACGTATTTGATTGGGAAATTAGACAAAAAATTTTTTAACTAGTTTCTTCTGTGAGCATATGACATATTTTGTTGGCTTACAGTAGCTAATATCTCCGTATAAACTACCCTTTTTGAAGGACTGAATATAGACAACCCCTCAAATGTCGCGTCATTTTTCTATAGTTTCGTTATCATTTGCAAACGTATGGAAATGCTCAGCTCCGCGGCTTAGGAATTTAAAAGGAAAAGAGGATAAAATACACCTGATGAATTTTGATAACGATAAAGTAAGAGCAAAAATGATCAGGGGATCCCGTGTCTGTTCAAAAGAATACATTCTACAAAGATTAAGTGATGCTGTCATCAACAGGCCGAGAAACGGAAAACCAGACTAAAACTGAGCCTTAAACACATATGATATTACTTAATTTATTCATCAACAAAAGCATCTCAATCCCTTCTTTGGTCTTTTTAATATTTTACTCTTTGCTTGACAATTAATAAAACGTGGCATTTGTACAACGTATAGAATTTCCAGATGATGATAGATAGCTGCAGACAATATACAAAATTTTGCTAGATTTTTTTAACCAGAGACAGTGATAAAAGACGCGACTTTTTTTGGATTTTTTATCTAATTTGACTGGCATAAAGCATGGGTTATTGAGGAGAGAATAAATGTAGCGTGAAGTAATGTGTTATCATAGCCTATAAATGACTAAATGTCTAACATGAAATGGTTTTTATTTTTTTTTTATTTAAATTTCCTTACAAAACAACAGTCGAAAAATTTTTTTCTTTCTTTTTCATTGTCAAAAAAAGGATTTTATTTATAAGCAAATAATACAGAGATCAGAGTTTAATAATTAGCCGAGCAGCATTAAATAGAGTAAAATAGAGAAACAGCCCCTTTAGGAAGACAGCAGTAAAAGATAGTAATACGATCCGAAGAAAAAGACAATAGATAGTCGCTTTTTTCAAAGAGAATAAGGCAAGCCCGAATAAAGGAATGTCTACCGAAGACTGACCAGTAGATTCGAATGATTTTTTTGAACTACATCTACTGGTCTTTCTAGAATGGAGTCAACGCACCACACAAGGCGACGACAACGACAACGACGACAATGAGTGTATGCCGACAAGATTTCCCGCCACCATCAGGACATGTCGCTTGACTCTTCTTTTTGTTCATTTCAAACATTACATTTCTTTTCTTTTGTTATTTCTTGTTTATAAATAAAAAAGATTAAAATTGTAAGAGAAAAGAAAAGAAAAGGGACCCCTATATTTGATCTTTTTGTACACTAAATTTGCTTCATCTATCGGCGATTTAATTGACCGTGCTTTCGCTCCAGTTCTCATTGGATGGCCACAATCAGTGATGAATTACCATTCTAGTTTCCCTGATATTTGCGCCAATCTGCAATTGAAATGTCTTTAGGGAGCTTGACAAAGTACACAAAAAAGAATTGACAAATATACTTTCTATATATACAGAACCCGACCTGTCTGTTTCAATCGCGACTGATTCGCGTTCAGATCTTGTTTGTAAAAAATGGCTGAGCCATCAACTAATATTTCACTCGAGATAATTGATGATTGATAATGTTTTTTTACAAAGTAGCTTGTCATGTATAGCGTTGATCGGTGGTTAACTTGTTTTGCGCAAGCTCCGAAGAGGAATCTATATCTGTAATAAAATAATTAATAAATTTGGTTTAATCCCCTCCTCTTTCTGTTCTTCGTTGTTTGATGTTAATATTATTGATATTTAACCACAAATCTTTATTCGTTGTCCATACAGATATTCCTAAAGGATTAGAATTTATGTTACACAGACTCGGTCGGATTGTAAATACTGCTCTTCATTCCGGATTTACTCAAGCATTTTGCAGGATCAGGGCTAGTAACCATCAGCATTTCCCCATCATCAATGAATATAGCCCAATATGATGAGCAAAAAATGTCTCTTGCTGTTTGGAGCATATTTATACGTGCTCAGTCATTGAATGAAATGACTCTCAGTTTATCTTAATAGCACTAACCGTGACCTTGGGCATATCGGAGGCATTAGGCATTGCCGCGAGCGTCCGAAAAGTCAGTAATTTGAAAATTCACCAAGGCATTGGAAGCGCGCCATATTCTCTCGGGGGTGCGTAGTACCACAGAGCATGGGTTGCCTTTCCTATGAGAGCTACTCTGGAGGAAATGTAATAGTCGCCATGTCCTCTCCTTACGGCAGTACCCCGATTAATGGGCCCATCTTCCCACGGCGACAGTTTGCATACCCGACAGTGTCCAAGAGGATATACAGGTAAATCACGGATAAGTGGACAGCCTCGGAATCATCCCAAACAATCCAACAGTGCCATTTCATCATTAGTTCTGTAATCTGCAACATCAAAGGCAAGTTATTGATCAATTGCACACCTTGTTAAGTACTTTAACTCTCAAGACGACCATAATTCATTACAAGTATTACAAATAAAAATTTATTATGACATAAAGAAAAGTAAATAAACAAAAGTAGTGAAGAAAGGGATTATTGTCCATTAAGCAAAGATTCAATCTGATAACTCCTTTTCTGTATTTCGTCTGTTTCGAGACATGGCACTTGAAGACAGGTTAAATACAGCTTATCATTCAAGTTCTCTACAAATGAATATCTCTTCGCCAGTGCTTGAAAGATCAAGACCTTTTTAATAATGCTTGCTGTGATCCTGTGTTTTCTGAAATGAATCAAAGGTTGGCTGAGTACTGTTGCTTCCAGTTGACTTTGGAAGGCGCTGGGATTATAGTTTGAAGGGATATAGGATGGTAGCTCTGCATTAAAGACAAGATCAGATAGGTAAATGCCCAAAAACGGAATACATCCGCCAAAGGGCAATTTTACTGTGATTGCGTTCTTGCCCATATTCTCTACCTGAATCTCTGTAGGTGTTTCTCCATATTCTTCTGCGACCTGTGTCATACTGTCTCGAAGGTTCTTCCAGTTTTTCGTCGGTGAAGTGAACGTAGAGAGTTCTTTCAACACCTTCATTTCCCGCTTGCTTACCATAGACCATGTTTTTTCGAGTCTCGAAACAGATGAAGACTGTAAACCCAGGAGTATCTGTATAAGGGTACTAAAATTACAATATAGCTTACACTTCTATAAGGAGAAAAAAAAAGATATAAGTGTCCCAACTTTTTAAACATCTATTAACTTGCCTTTGCTAATCGGATGAACTTTTCTATGAGCTTTACTCTTGCTTCAATTGGTCCTGTCTGTACTATCTCACTTGACACCCATTGACAGACTGCGTTAAATCGATGAATGGCCTTCTCAACACCTCTTTCCGAATAATCTTTCTCCCTCTCTTGCTGCTGTTTCATTCTTTTCTTTCGTGAGTAAATACCAGGCTGATTGAACTGTTCGCCGCTCACATCGCTATCGTCGTCATTATAGAACTCACTTGGCAAATGTAATCCTGCAGGCATCTTGGTCCATCGGACATCAACCAGTTCTTCCCAACTGATACCAAGTAATATGTTTCTTTCAATGAGGCAAAATTGTTGAGCTATTACCGACGTTGGATAGCTTAGTAAAATCGATTGATAGTTGTTATTTGACCTAGATGAAGTGTTATTAGGTGGAATATCCATTTCGGTTATTCTAGATCTTAGAGACTAGTATAAGAAAAGAAAAAAAAAGAAAACAAAAGCAAGAGATTAAATACAGAAGAGTATACATCGTTTTTCTATTTTCGCATTTACTTTATCAGAGTGCTTATTCTTGATTGCAAATTTCCATTGTTCTTTGCTTTGGTTATCCACTTTATGACTAAAATAAGAGCGAATGGATGCAGCGGGACTTGGGCCTGTTGAAATCGGAGGTAATGGTTTATCGATCCTATTACTGTAAAGACTATCTTTTTTCTTTTCTTTTTGTCTTTTTGACGTGTTTAATTCAGGATCAAAATAATCTCTGGTCGGACCGTCAATGATGGGTGTGATATTATCACTGGAAGGAGAAGTTATAGAAGGTATTGCTAGTTGTGCATTATAAAACGATCGACGTATTCTGGCATTTTCTAGTTTTTGTTGCTCTTGCAAAGATAAATCTGTCTGTAACGCCGCATCTTCCATCTCTTGCTCTTGCTGTAGTCGCTGTTGTAGTAGGCGAACTTCCATAAGTCTCTGATTGAGTTGTTCTGTCATATCATCTTTTTGCACTTGTTCTTCTTGTTCTTGTTCTTCATCATCATCTTCGTCTTCTTCCTCATCCTCAATGCCCGATGTTCCTGGCGTCAAATAGCTTCCTATGGACTCATCTGAATCATGCTCGTTTCTATTTACCCCTGTCCTACTCATATAGTTTGATTCATCTATAGGTAATGAGGATGCGCTCCTACTATGAGTGGATGTTTGGTATAAAGGTGCTGTTGTGGAGTTGTAGCGTGTACTTCCGATCACCACAACAGGAGCCGTCTGTTTATCCCTGATAGCTGTGTTTGCTCTATGCCGTCTATCGACATGAATACCATGAATACGTTGACGAATGGTATTTTTGGATAATTTATCCTTGACCATTTCCGTTACTCTTGCTTGTTCAAAAGTTGGAGGTGGTGGCTCAATGACCTGAACATCGGTGGATGACGTATAATAAAGCTTCTTGAGTCGTCGAACCACCCGCCTTAGCGTCTTTATGATACGTTTATCTCTTGGAGACTGCTTTATGACTGGATGAAGAGATATTTCGTTCAAGAACTTTGTTAGAATGATTCGAAGCTCCTTATTTGGAACAAAGTCATGCAAATAATAGTTCAGTAGCCAATGTCTGATGGTTACAAACGTTCTATCAAAGAGAGAGTACATAAACCTGTTTTATGCATATAACAGTACCAACTTGTACCTTACACGAGTAACACATCTCTCTTCATCGTCGTTTTCCAATCCCCACATGAATCTTGAGATAAGGAATTTAGCTAGTTGAATGGGCGTCATGAATATACGGTAAATAAGAAAAAAATCTGTCATGAAAGCATAATCTGCATAAAGAGACACATAAATCTTGTTGTTTACATATATTCCTTCCATATTTACCAAGAGACACTGTCATCTTTTCTACTAATTTTTCAATCGTTGCTGCCTCAATCTCTCTCTGTTGAGGGACATCTGTGACGACTGGTTCCTGTTTTCTTGAAAATAACTCAGTTGACCAGATATGTTTTTTTCTTGCTACTGTTTCATGTTGGTGTGACTGATTCGAAGTGTTTCGCCAAATGATGCACGGACTATTATCTGATTTTACAATGTCAAATAAAGTAAGGGGATAATCCGAAAGATCTAACGGTGGGATGCCTCGATCATGACACTGCTGTTCATGCTGTAGATGACTATGTCTTTTATCTGTCTCTATCCAGATATCACCAAATTCGCTGACTTTCGGAATCGTCGGTAGACTACAAAGGGACTCAAATGGTTTAAAGCTAACTGAGGTAATACTATCACTACTCCAAAATATTTTCGATTCCGTGTACTCTTTCACTCCAAAGACCGTGGCAAGAGCTGCTCTTTCTATTCCGCCGTCTGTGGTGTCTTTTATGAGTTCAACTGGAATGATGGAATTAGCCCTCTTTCTTGTCGACATGGTGGTAATCAAGGGTGTAAGAAGAAAAAAAAAAAGAGAGTTAAAAAAGAAAGAGAGGGCACACAATTATTTATAGTAATAATGTGGCTATGAACAAGTTTATTAAAAATAAATAAACACTTTATCTATAATTTCCATTTGTAAACAAGATTTGATATATTATTCAAGAACGAAGGCCATCTTTCTACAGCATTACGTGTATTCAAGGTAACGAGATCTACAGATACGAGCTATACGTTGATAGATGAGTATAGTATATAAATGTTTTTTTTAGTTTTTATATTACCTCCACTTCAGTTCTTCTTGTTCTTTTATCTTGTTCCTGGACACGATTAATATAAATCAGGCTGTCATTTGCATACAAGTATCTCTTCTTGTTTATATGAGACACATCTAATAATGTCATGTCCTTATAGTGAAGAGGGGCAACCATTTCACTATAACTATTATAAATAGTGAGTTTGATTTTGATGTTTCACTGTTTAATATAATAACCTAAGCAATTTAAACTTTTCAAATAATTGTCGCAAATCCTCAGCTGAATAATCTATAAACTGCCTGGCAATGAATCGAACATCAATGTCACTAAAAATAAACTTGTTAGTTTATCATACTTTATAAATCAATTTTACTTGCCTTGTTAAACCAAGTACATCAATAACCGATCTCTTCTTTTCTCCAATAGCGCGATGAAACTTCATGCTTCCATTTTCTTGTATAATAAATTCAACTTCAAGTCTATTCAACATATTATTATCCTTTGGTTGGTCATTATTATCAACACTCATCAATAGTTCATTGTTCACATATTCGGTCTTGATTAACTTTTGATGCACTCCTCCGTCTGAAGTGAAAGGTATAAAATCCGATGCTAATTTAGCAGGCGGCATGCTATTTTGCAATGGTAAATATAGGATCCCCTTTTTTTATCCGTATAACTTACGCATTAAAGAAGGTGGTTTGATTGCTTTTGATGAGTTCTTGAAGTGATGATATGTTTATGTCAGATGTTGAAATAGGTTGAAGAAGGTTAGGAGTCATTTGTGCCTTTATTGAATTTCTACAAAGTAAGTGACCAAACCTGATGATAAAAAAGGGAAATGTTAGTTCACAAAAAAATATATATTATCCATGTATCAAATTTACTTCGCTTCCAAAGATATGTCCTTATATTCTTCTTGTTTAAACGCACTTAGTAACAATTCCTTAATCTCACCCATTTGTATTGTCCTATCATGTTTGTCTTATTACTCCTTTTTTTTTTTTTGTGGTTAAACTTACTGCTGATCGGCTAGATTGATCAAGTTAGGCTCCTTATTTTCGCAATCGTTCTTCTTTTTTAATCTACTCCAGCCAAATTGTCGATCATACATAGGCATAGCCAAAGAATCATGAAAAGGAACCAAATTAAATTCTGATCCTTGATTTACTAATGTTTTATTGGCTTGCTCTAATGGTTTTTTGCTTGTCATATTTAGCTATAGAATATGAGCAACACTGTTTTCATTATCTGCATATGTATAAGCTAACCTCTGTCAATGTCAAGTTAAGTAATCTTTTGGCATTTTCCATAGCGTGGTCAGATAGACTTGTGAAGACAAACTATAAACACAAAGAGTCAATACTGAGCTCAATAGATTTTGATTGATCTACCTTGTTATTGTCCAAAGATATGTACGATCCTGATACTTTGGAAATACCTGCTAGTACACGAGATATTTCAGAACGAAATCGACTATCTTCTAATGTTTCTATTGGCACTTGCACTTGTCCTTCAACAAGTTTCAAATGACCCTGAATATCTCGCTTTGCATTTTCCACTGCACTTGGCTGTCCTTCGATCAAATACCGACTCTGAGTCACGTCAATGGTCACATTCACCTTGTTGGCTTCTTCAATTTTTCGAATAGTGCTACCATTATCTCCAATGATGAAAAATAACTCTTGACGAGATGCTGGGAATTGCTCGATTATTCTCTTCTTTCTTTCTTCTCGTACTTGTTCTCTCGTCTTTATGCCCCATGTGTTTTGCAATATAGTAGTTATCATGCTCCTTTTAGTGCTGTTCTTTTTATACATTTGCTTTGAAGCCAAATACTCAGCTAATTGATGCTTGTTGTATGATTTATTTAACAATGTATACAGTTTTTGATATTCATTTGTTGTTATCACTTTTTGCCTTGGTCGAAGGGATTCCATTGTGGCCAGGACGACAGTTGAATTGTCTTCTGGATTCAAAGGCTTTTGAAGTTCAGCTACGAGCTCCTTTAGTCTTTCGTCTGGCAAAATCTCTTGTGTTCGTCTGCAGGATGAGATTGAGAAACATCGTCTATATTGCCGAATGACGATACGGTTGCTTAAACACTTAAACATGACACATATTAAAAAAAGATTTTTTGACAGGCGTTGAGTGTTTATTTTTGTGAGGAAAGCAGTCACGGACAGGTGGTTACTTTAAGAAATCCCCTTCCCCCTCTCTAGGCACCGATATTAAGGACGATGCATGTCGGTAGCAAGTATGATATTTGATGATTATACTGTATTTCCAAAAATTATGGACACTAATGCCAAGAGTAAAATCCGCGCTTGTTAAATTCTAATGTCATGTTAACCATTGGTTGATTTCGCTTGCTGACAAACTAAATGTCGTATATGTAGAAGCTTTGTCGTACAAATTATGAATATATTAAGCATGAAAGCACTGTCAGATCTCTTTTTACTCTCTTTCTCATTAAAAACCGAGTATTACAATATGAGCTTTCAAATTTTCTATGAAGACGGGCACGGTAATGCAGTTGATGAATACGGTAGACCTGAGCCTATGGACTACAATATTGATGAAGAGCGATATGCTTTAGAAACAGTTAGCTCACACACTCAGTATTTGCATAATCAGCCTCAGGAGAATAATTTCGATGTAGGCTCTGTGGCAGATGAAGATGCAAAAGATGACCCAGATGTTTGCATGAAGGAGTCATCGAGTAAGCGAGCGTACACACTCTATACGGATCAAGACAAAGCTAGATTCTTCAAACTGGTGTTTGAGAAAGCTATGGGTGCCTCAGCTGCTGCGAAGCAATTAGGTATTCATGTTCGCGTAGCTCAAAGATGGGCTCAACTGTACAAAACGGATCCTGATAGTATTTTTATAAAGCATAAGAAAACCGGTCGCTCGCGTATACTTCATGAAGAACACAAACAAGTGATCTTGCAGTGCGTAGATGAGAATCTTTCAGTCGCCTTGGAGCAAGTAATGGAGCAACTACTTCAAAAGTTTCAGGATCCCAAGGTCTCTAAAAGCAGTGTCAACAATTTTGTAAGAACTGAATGTAATTTGTTACTCAAAAAAGCCCAATTTCAGTCTGTAGATAGGAACAGTGAAGCAAAAATTCAGGAGCGTTTTGACTGGATTCATAGGTGGGAGTGTACAGACATGGACTTTAGAACTAATTGCGTCTTTCTCGATGAGTCTGCGTTTCATATTAATTTAAAACGTAGTATGGCCTGGTCAAAAAAAGGATTGCCTGCTGTGGTCACAGTGCCCAAAACCCGAACACAAACAACAACGATTTTAGGTGCGATCTCTGCTTCAGGATTAATAAAGTGTAGCCTGAGATTACCGCAGCCGTCAGCCAAGAAAAGAAAGAGAGAAGGTTACGTTGAGTTAACGAGTACAGGGGCAGCAGCTGGTCATTATTTTAGCTTTCTGAAGGCCATGATGGATGAAATGGATCAGTACCCACATATGAAATGGTATTAGCTTGTTGTGGATAGCGCTGTAAGACCTCAAAGCCCAGAATCCTGACGTCGTTCAAGCTGAGCAAGCCCTTTCTCAACAGCCAAGCAGCACCATATCCGTAGAATACTTTGGCTACTTTCTTCAAGCCAGATCTAAACAGTTTGCCGTTCTCAGTCGATTCTATGGACATACCATCACAAACCATGATAATGGATACTTCCTCTTTCGCAAGATCCGTCTTTCAGTGTACTTCAACAAACAATGGGCCGATCAAAAGCTTATTCAAGGCTTACGTGCCAAGTTTGGAGAAGACGCTGTGTTTGTGATGGGAAACTGATTCGCTCCCTATGCTAGGTATCATAAGCCCATCCGTGGCCTTGGTTTCCGAAGACTCCTCAAGAAGCATGGGTTTCAAGTCTATCTTATAGACGAGTACAAAACCAGTAGGTGTTGTCCAGCATGTCACAGCGAAAGCCGCCACACGTTCTGTCGTGTTCCAAATCCACGACCGTATCAACATGAGCGATATCCTACTGTTATCTGCCATAGTCTTTTAAGGTAATAACACGTTAACCACTTGTATGACTTTATTCTGATTGAACATTGATTGTAGATGCACCAATCTATACTGTAGACCCGCCATGGCGGCACCAGATAGATATCGTTTATGAAACAGGGATGTTGCTGTTTGCCTCAACTACATGCACATCCTTCATGGGCTTCGACGAAATGGCATGGTTCCTTATAGGTTTCGCCGGGTTGCTGTTGCTCCTACAAGACGTCGAAGAAGAGTGGACGATCAGGAGCAACCAAGAACTAGAATACGCTTAGACGATGATTATCCGTCCTAGCTATCGCTAGGACACATCTAGATGCCTTCGGGGTAAGTTATTATATATAATAATTTTCTTATATAGCTAGCTGTATAATTTTTTATATTCCCTCCTTGGTACTTATTACTCTCATTTGTATGTCGTCTCCTTTTGCACGCATTTTATTTTTAACTTTTGCGTAAATACTTTTTTATATATGCGCCAATCATTTTTTTCATACAGGTCCTCTTTCTGAAATTTATTTTTAATAAAACAGTATAAGAAAAATATACATATAAGGACATATTCTAGCAAAAGTAAATGGAATACATAACAACTATTATCAAGAAAGAGAATATAATTTATTAATGCATCACGTATGTTTTTTTAATATTGACGCGTAATTGAAGGGTATGTTCATTATTGATTAATCAATCTAATTAAACGATAGTAAGAAGCATAAACACAATGAATTACACACTTTCATCGTCTTGTAACAATACAGTTCAATCCACGAGTCAATCTCCGCTCTTTGAACCGTCACACGTTAAATCTGATTGGCCGTAGAGCTGTTTACTGGGAACAGAAGAGAAAAAAAGAACTTTTTTGAGCCCTTCTTGGTCTCTTTTTTTTTTTTTTTTTTTTTTTTTTTTTACTGCAGAAAAAAAAAATCCAAGCTATAATAAAGCTGTGCGGAATTTTTCAAGTGTTTTCAACTTTTTTCCCATCAACATAATTTTATTTGTTTATTTTAGTCCATCTTTCTCTCTTTCCTTTTTTTTCTTCTTCTTTTTCTTAATAAAAAGCTACAGGGTAATTTCAACTATTTTAGTTAATAATAAAAGTAGTTTGACTAATATATGCTCTTAAAAGATCCTGTCCTTTATTTTTTCAATTTTAGCTGACTTTTGCTTCATCTGGCTTTTTAGTCTAATGACAAAGTCCATACAGTTATCCAACAAGACGACACAACCTATGACAAATAATAACAACAACAATAACAATAATAATAATAACGAGTGTACCGCTGCTTCAGCTTCCAAAAAGAAAAAGAAGAATAAAAAGAAGTCCAAATCAACTACGAGTAATAATCAGCCAAAGGCACAAACAGACATGGTCGACGCCATGATGAACCACCACGTCACTCGACACGGTGAAAGTACTTCAAAAAATAGTAGCAATAGTAAGAATAGCTCAAATAAAAAGAACAAAAACAAAGAAGACGACAGCTTTTGGTCAAGCACGAGTAATGCAGAAGAACGGCAAAAGATTCGAGAGTTTTGGCTACAATTAGGCGAAGAAGAAAGAAGATCACTTGTCAAAGTTGAAAAAGAAGCCGTACTACGTAAAATGAAAGAACAACAAAAACACAGCTGTAATTGTTCCGTTTGCGGTAAAAAGAGGTAAGGTGCTATAGTCCTTTTTTAGTTGCAAGCATATTCAATATTTTCATTGTCTAGAACGGCTATCGAAGATGAACTTGAAGTATTATATGATGCTTATTATGAAGAATTAGAACAATATGCTAATCACCAACAACAAACCCGTGGTTCTTCTTCTTCAGCTTCATTGCCTCGTTCGATTAGTTATATTCGTGGCGGTAGAATATATCATAATGGCAATGATGATATTTTGGATGAAGATGATGATGAAGAAGAGGATGAAGAAGAAGAGGAGGAAGATGAGGAAGATATTGATATATTAGGTGATGAAGAAGATGAAGATGACGACGATGAAGAAGAAGAAGAGGAAGAGGAGGAGGAAGACGATGATGACTTTGATGACGACGATGAAGCCATCAGCCGTCCCTCAATATCTGCCTATTCTGAAAAGAGCCGATTTGATGAATTAACTCACATTCGACATACGGCTGCAAAATCCTCTGCAAATGGTGACCATTTTAGCTTTGGGAACAGTCTAACTGTCAAAGGTACAAACACAAAAATTTAATTTTCCTATGTAAAAATTTTTATATGCAAGCTAACGCTTTTAGTAGGTGGTATTTTAACCGTGGCAGATGATTTACTAAAGAATGACGGGAAAAAGTTTCTTGACATGATGGAGCGTCTCGCTGAACGAAGAATGCAGAAAGAAGACATATCCTTGGATCAGAATAGCAATTACTTTCAAGAGGAGGAAGATGACGAGGATGGTTATGAGGACGATGAAGATGAGGTAAGTCAAATAAATCATTTTAATCAAAAGCAAATTATTAATTATATCATCAAAAGGATACCCGTACCGAAGAACAGCGCATGGAAGAAGGTCGCCGTATGTTCCAGATATTTGCAGCGCGTATGTTTGAACAAAGAGTCCTTGCTGCTTATAGAGAAAAAGTAGCTCAAGAACGACAGCAAAGATTACTAGAGGAACTTGCAGAAGAGGACCGATTGCGAGAAGAAAGAGAAGCAAAGAAACAACTAGAAAGGGAGCGCAAAAAGGACAAAAAAAGGTATTGCCTCGTGACACATCACAGTTCCAAATGTTCTAATCTTTATTTTCATTTGCCCCAGACAATTAAAAAAACAGCAAGAGGAAGAAAGGCTCGCGCTTGAAGCCAAAAAGAAAGCTGAAGAAGAAGCTTTACGTCAACAAAAAGAAAAAAAGATGGAAGAAGAGCGGCAGAGGCGTGAGAAGGAACGCCTAAGGAAAGAAGAAGAAAAGAGACAGCGTGAAGAGGAGCGTCAGAAGAAGGAAGAAGAAAAGAGACGAAGGCTTAAAGAAGAGAAGAAGCGTAGAGAGAAGGAAGAGAAAGAACGTAAGGAAAAGGAAGAAAGAGAGCGCAAAGAAAAGGAGGAAAAGGAACGCAAGGCAAAAGAAGAGAAAGAGCGCAAGGAAAAGGAAGAGCATGAGCGAAGAGAGAAAGAGCAGCAAGAACGAAAGGCAAACAAAGAAAAAGAGCGTAAAGAAAAGCTACGTTTGGAGAAGGAAAAGGTCGACGAACAAGAAAAGCCAAAGGAAGAAGCAATAGTTGTGACTCCAACTGCTACGACTGCACCTAAACAGCCCATTATAGAAAAACAGCCAGTATTACCGCAGTATAGTCATATTCCTCCAGATGACTTTGAGAACAGACAACAAGTATTGATTGAAGCCCTTGTTGGATCTACCTCAAGACCTTCAAACTTTGTTGAACCCAATAACATTCAGCATTCTCTTGCTCAATTACAACTATCGCAGCCCAGTCCTCTCCCTCTTTCTCACCCGCATCATCTTCATCATCATCAACAGCAGCCTCCTTTACCACATATACAACAGCAACAATCGTTTATGCCATTATCTGGTCATTTAGGTGGGACACCCGCCTCGTTCCTTTCAACTTCACTTGATCATACCTCATCTTTATCCGATGCTAATTCATCTGTCCTTGGACTGTTTAATAATCGATCCACTGCACCGCCTTCTACATCACTCCTAACAGAAACACCTTCCACTCGGCGATCGCTTACATCGATTGCACCTATTGGACAACCTATTCATAATGGACGTCGTTCATCTGTACAACCAGTAGGAACAATAGGATCGCTACCGGATGATGCCTTTCTAAGCGGTAAACGAACAGAAACAGAAGGAATGGCTGCGCGATCCTTCTTTTCCAGTTTCCTATTTGGAGAGCCTACTAAATGTAAATTCTTTTTTATTGTAAATTATATAGTAAACTAACATCTTATATTAGATCATAATAACACGCCACCTCCTCACGTGTTGCCTCATGACTATGATACCAGACTGGCTCAGGACAATAGAAGGTTTTCAGGCGATGGACAACAACAACAACATACTCCTGGCTGGACAAATGGTAATTATCCAATTTTTTTTGTTTATTTTTATCTTATATATTTCTATGTAGCATGGACAGCATCCTCACTACTAACAGACAATGTGCATGGTAAACTGTTTGGTGATGCATTGGTAAGTGTAATCTTTAAACAGAAAAGTTTTTTTTTGCTAACAAGCTCTATGAACACTGTATAGCCGGATCGCACAGCCATGACTTTGGAACGAGTGAAAGTAGCGTATCAAAAGCTAAATGAGATCACACAAGTGAAAATGTTTACAGGATACCACACACTTGTTCAACTACACCGTATGATGAATGATCTATATATTGACTTTCCAATTGATATTCGGGAACTATACGAAATACTCTGCTCTCCTTTGAGCGGATTCCGGTGCTTTCATCACGGTCAACACGGTATTGTTGTCTTATATGACAATAGTAGTATGACAAGCACAACAAACTTTTCTTCACCGCCACATTCTTCATTATTATTACCATCACATCCACCCCCTTCTTTGCAACCCGGCAATAATCCTCCTTTATTCTCATAGCGGAATAAAATCTTGTACTTTATAATAAAGATATAAATTGCATATTTACATGAAGCAAGATGACTTTCTGCATGAGTTGCTTTCCTAAAAAAACGATATTATTATTAGCTTTATTTCGTCTAAGCGTAAGCACACTGTTTTTCTATAAATTCAATACATAATGTCAATTGATGAGAGAGATATGATTACAATCGCCAGAAAAAAAAAGGGGGGGGGGGAGAACAAACGACTTTATACACAAACTTTTTATTATTTACTAAAATATTCTTTATTGGCTCCAGTATTGCTGCTGTTGACGGTTAGTCACAGTAGACTGAGTTTGCTGTTGAGGATGACCTTGGGTCATGTGCTGCTGATATTGAGGATACTGCTGGTAAGAGAACATTTGAGGCTGTCCAAAAAAGTTATTTGTACCAGCATAAGGATGTTGCTGGTGCAACTGTTGTTGCTGCTGTTGCTGAGGCAACTGAGTTTGTTGTTGCTGAGAAGCAGGTGTTTGCTGTTGCTGGGAAGCAGCATTAGAAGCAGCGGTACGTGCAGTGGAAGTCATGTCAGCCTTTTGAGTAGGCTGTGTTGGCTGTGCTCCCTGAGTACTAGGTTGCTGCTGTTGGTGATGATTCAAATGGCCCAAGAACCCTTGTAATTGAGGTTGGACATACATGCTCTTTTGGTAATCGTTCAAGCCCAAGTCATCATAACCACTCATAGCTTGATTATACAACTGAGACTGTTGACCGTAAGGACTGTTGTAAGGAGACTGAACAGTCGCAGCAGCAGCAGCAGTCGTAGGTTTGCCAGCGGCAGTAGTGTGTTGATACATGTTGGGGTACATGCTCTTGTTCATGAAAGGTTGACCATAAGCGGATTGCTGGTAGGCATTGTATTGGTTGTGCATGTAGTAATATTGATAATAAGGCAAGTTGGTGGGGTACATTTGCTGAGGCAAAGTTTGACTTTGGGCACCAGCTTGACCAGTGGTATCTTGACTGTATTTATCACGAGCTTGGTAAGGGCTAGCAGATGTCACTGAAGGAGAATGATGACTGAATGCAGTTGGGTCATAATAGCCCTATAAGAATGAATTTAGATCACCTTTCCTCTTCCACCCTCTTTATAAAAAACTCGCAATACTTACCATAGCAGCAGCAGCTCTTTGAGCTTCAGTACCATAGATACCATAGTCAGGCAAATTGCCCATAGGGTTCATGCCAAATCCAGAAACACCTGTAGGTGGTTGACTGGGTAAGTATGAGCTGTAAGCGGAAGTGAGATGATCCATTCCGAAAGGTTGTTGTTGTTGCTGCTGCTGAGGTACAGCTTGGTGAGGAAGCTGCTGAGGTAATTGTTGCTGTTGAGGAACTTGTTGTTGCTGCTGCTGCTGCTGCTGCTGCTGTTGTTGTTGTTGTTGTTGTTGCTGTTGCTGGTAAACAGGAGCTGTGGCAGCAGCAGAAGAAGCAGTCGTGTTCATAGGAGCCGAGGCAGCACTGGTTGTGATAGTAGTTTCTTGTTGCTTAAGATAAGAGGATTGTGAAAAGTTTGCATCATGAGCTGTGGCGGTATTTGCAGCAGCGCCGGTAGTAGTGGAAGGAATTGTGTTTGAAGCAACAGCTGAAGTCGTAGTAGGTTTAGATTCAGCTGCGGGTTCATTTGCAGTTGCGGCTGTACTATTGGTTTCCTTTTTACTATTTCCCCGATTAGTAAAAAAATAAACCATCATAAAAACATTAAAAAAGACTTACAGTATCTCGGGCTGATCGTCGTCTACATTGAGTGAGCCAAACTTGACGTCCAGCGAAGCAATATCGGATGACTTAGGTAAAACGACGGGCTCTTCTTGATTGTGGAGACGGTTTAGTGTGGAACTGTCTTCTTCCTTGTTTACTTCTGGTTCCTTGTGACTTGATTCTAGTTCTTCGGAAGTATCTTTAATTGTGCTTTCGTTCGTATCAACAGGGGTAGACCATTCATCAACAACGGGATGTTCTGTGGTCGTTGTCGCTGTATTCCAGGCATCATTTGTAGTGTTGCTAGTCGCATTCCAGCCATCATTCGCTGCAGCGCCTGTAGTATTCCAACTGTCATTTGCATTAGTACTTGTTGTGTTCCAGCCATCTGTTATTGTTGTTGTTTGTGTATCTTGTTCTGTATCTACATGAGGAGTTTCTGGCTCTGGTTTAGGTTTTGACCTACAGAAAAAAAAAATTTTTTAGCCTCATTTTTTTTTTGACATAGACGACCCATGTTTATGTATACTTACTTCAGAAGGCTTGCCCAAGTCTTTGGTTGATCCTCGTTTGAGGTGTCATTATTATTTGCACTATTGTCTTGTGTGGAAGTGGGGACCCAATTATCAACAGCATTTGTCGTATTCCATGAATCATCCACATTTTCATTCTGTTGTTTTGAAGATGCAATAGATGCCCATGAGCCAGCAGCAGGTGCAGAAGAATCATGGTGCTTGTCCCATGATGATGAAGCGTTTGAGGATGTGTTTATCTTTCGTGCACGGTTAGGAGGTACTGATGCTATGTACACATGTATATTATGATTAATACGAGAAATACGCGCATATGCTCAATTCTAACCTTTTCCGGCTCGATTAGGTCTGTCGTTATTAGATGATCTTGATGGTGTACTCGGTTTAGGTGAGTATGAAGTCATGGTCGAAGATTGTTGATGTGGAGAAATAGAGACAGTAGTTGCAGCCTTTGCTTTCTGTGCTTCTTTTTTTGATTTTTTCGTCTTTACTTCGCCCCATTGATTAGCGTGTCCTGTAAAAAGCCATTGTATTTTAAGGAGAAGGGCTCTTTAAGGAGAAGAAAAAGAGAGTGTATTACCTTCACTAATTCTGTCTATAGCCAAGTCCAAATCACCATTTGCTTCTTCCAGCACAAATAAGAGGTCGTCGTCTGACCAATCAGAAAATAGGACTTTAAGTGTAGGCAGCTTTGCGGAATATTTAGACTTGAGTTTCTTGAGATCATTCTGTTCAGAAGAACTACTTTTATTCCTTGTATTTTGTGATGAGCGTGTTTCGTATGAAGTCATGATGTGAATTTAACTGTGAAATGTATAAGTAGGCATTTCTTTTCTCTTCTTTAATAAACAAACCTTTTTATTTTAATAATACTCTTTCTCTTTTTTTCAGTGAAATTTAACAAGAGAAAAAAAATATTTCAACCGTAGTTAAAGGAAAAAGAAAAAAAAAAAGAGAGCCATGATGATTTCAAATTGAGTAATCTGAGTATCAAACTCAAATTATACAACAAGTATTATAAAATGAAACTTTTTTTTTGTACGATCCTTGGTCTTTCATTATGTATCAATATCAATGTACGCGTCATGTCTTTTTAGACAATCAAAGATGACTTTAAATGAGTATTTGGCCTTTATTAAAGAATGACTTCATTTGAACATGCTTTGGCCTGTAGACGGAGATATAATTGTCGTAATGTGTGGGAAGAGTCACGCCAACATGTTGTTTTCTAATGCAACAAAAGGATATAAATATAAATTAAATTAAATATAGAAGACGAAAAAAACCAAAGAGCACTTTTCAACAATGAGAATGTTATTAAGAAGAATCATCGATCCATTGGACAACATAATAGCATGCAATGAATGCAAACTGATATAATAAGGAGAGCTACTGAGCTTGAATAAAACACTTAACAATCGTGGCAAATAGACTGTATGATATCATTTATTATTATCAACCTGGCTGTTGTCTCTCTTTTTTTTAACAGTACACTTTTTTCGGAAAGTAAAGTCGCACCCGATGGAAATCGATACTAGATGTCGCATATGCTTTGTACTTGTACAAGACGAAAGTAATTAGTATGGCAGGTGCAACTCCAAGGGTTATATTGCTGATGAATAAATATGTATGAAATACTGAACGATGTTTGTTCTAAAAGAGGTGTCCAGACAAAGGCTGATACTAATGTTCCTATGGGAGAAACTTTGATCAAGAGCAATCCTACGCTCACCAAACTCAACCAATCAGAAAATGGTCCAAGGATGAGAGAAGGCTTTTCATTTTACACACTTTCCGAAAAGTGAATTCGCCCAATGACAAGAACAAAATTCATATTGTACGAAAATGTAAAATTCGTCTTTACTGACAAATCAGATGCCTTGTCGAACAACCTTGATATCTTTGAATTCACTTTTAGAAGTCAGCTTTGTGAACAATTCAATGGAACAAATCAATGGAATAAACCAAAGTGGGCAAAAGACGCTTCAAATTAGGCTACATTTTGAAACGAATTCGCCACACCCCACCCTTTTTTTTCCTCTGCATCCTTTTCATTTTTTTTTTTTTGTATCTTTGAATCAATTTCGATATTCAACCACAACACCATTTCACTGAATTTGCAGTGACTTCTGACATATTTTGCTGTCATGGGAACAAGGGACACTGAAATCTGCAATTTACAAAACTGCAAGAACTCAATCAGAAAGAATAACCGCACTGGCCGTTGCCGTGATCATAGACGTGCGGAAGAAACAGAATCCTGTTCTGTCATGTTTACATAGATCACACATCTCTTAATTCTCTATTCATTCTCAGCCAATAGACGACATCAGATATTTGTAGTCGTCACCTCTCGTATATATAGTCAGGTCGTACCCTCATTTATTAGTTCTTCTCTCAGCTTTAAATAAAAAATAGTAATTGTTAGCTATTGACTCCTACTGTTCTATATTTATAAACACCATAAATACAACATGCTCCCACTCTCATTGTAATTAATTGATCAGAATTGACAACCATTCTGGGCTTTGCTCTCTACAGAAACACGAATTACACTCGGAACGATCACACCAACAGCTCTGCTCCAGATTTAACGGAATCTGCAGAATCTGAATCAGGTTTACTGAACATTGAAGCATACTCGACCGTACCAAGGATACCAGCTGCGCTATCCGCTGCCACACCAAGCGACGGTCTGATTCTGCACGACTACGACCACGCTATCATATATGCCTTTAATCATTTGAAAGATACACCAGAGCACATGTCGCAGACCGCCAAGCTCATGAATACCATGGATTTGGAGTCTGCCGTCATCATTGACGGTGAATGAGTGGAGAGCAACTTGCTGGGAAAGTCATCCGTGATCCACCCCCTTGAATTGAAGCAAAAGCGCGGTCTGACTATGACGATAAAGGCAAGTCCAAAGAAGATCAAGGTTGATGGCACTTTTTCTTCTCGGCGCTTGCCCATGCCAATTGACGGAGCTTATTTTACGAAATAGTTTCGTGAGACAAACACTACTAAAAAATAAGTAAGGGTAAAGAAAAGTGAGAATGCATGGAATCTCTTTTTTTTTTTTTTTTTAACTAGAACAGATTCATGGGAATGACGGATGATATGGTGAAACCTCTGAATCAAGATTGGCTCTTCCGGTCTGATGGGATTACGTGTAGGAAGCAGATGAAAGGAACTAATAAGTCAATGGCTTTCGATCAAAGAGTTTATTATGAAGAGGAGAAAATTTTTATATCTGGATAAGAATATATATTCAATCAGAGAGAACCGGAGTATGAGTTATTGAAACTGGGATCAGTGTTACTATGGCGAATATGTGGATATGTTTTTATAAAATGTCAGTGGCTACTGTTAAAAAATTGAGGTTGATATCTTATTGTGTGCTCTCATCTGATACAATAAAGAGGCAGAGAGTAGAATGTATGCTCTACTGTAAGTTTATACTCGAGTGTTATGATACTTTATCTCACTAAACACGTCACGGCCGCAGATGCGTTTCTTTGCAACAAAGGTGCTAAGCGGTGCCATTCTTGTCGATCCAATTTCATCCACTGCCATTTTGATCAACACCGCCGAAGTGTACGATCGCTCAAGTCTTGTCGGCACACATCATGAACGATGTATTAATAAGAAAGGAATTCCTGCGTTGTCAACGAATCTGCCAATCAACTGTCGGTACAAGCAGATTTAGCTGACATCTGTAAAGGACAACGATGGCACAAAGCTGAACATGGCTACGAAGAATTTTAGCACCTTGGCGGCTTCAAGCATCCGCCTTAACGTAAAACCCTATCCAGAGCTTGGCCCTACGACGAGTAAACGAATAAATTTGTCATTGACAGCGAACATAGTCGTCATGTGCAGATCTTTTTGGATGAGGCCAATTACACTGATGCCACAAAAATCGCTCTCAGTGAAATGCCACCAACATTAGCGACACTGGTATACTGCAGCAATTGCGACAAATTGGCTCAAAATTTAATGAACACGCTTCATACATTTCATTTCATTCAAGCAGCTCGTTGTGCAACTTCCATCGCTTGTAGCCGCAAACCATATTTACTTACAATACCTTTGACAATGGTGCGCCCAACTGTGATGGTAGATTGGCGTCACGAATGTTTGCTCACGTGGCCAGTGAAGTGATCAAGAAGAAAGCCGAAGCAATTCTTGGCAGATACACCATCACCAGTTTACTCTCCCAATGCAGGCCCGACGGACGCATCATCAAAACAATCAATGACATCAACGCCTTATTCCCGGACGGATCCACTTCCATTGAGATTTTAAACAATCATGACCTTAGCAAGTCTCTCAAAGTGCTCACACAAATTTTACAACCATATCTCTCGATGGCAAATAGAACGATTGCCAGTGAAATCGAAAGTATGTTTTGATTTAATCTGTGAACACTGTTTAGTCCATTCTTTTTTTCTTTTTTTTTTTTTTCCCAGCGTGATAACAACAAAATATATATACAACATTTATTAAAATAAGGAATAATAGCCTTTAGTTGATCGTCTTCTTTTTGCCTCTGTTTAAGCTAGGCCCCCATACTTTGACCGTAAAATCAGCTGAGCAACTGGCAAGGATAGGTTCAGTAGGATGAAAATTGACTGCATACACTCGATCTGTGTGGCCTTCTAATCGCTGCATCAACTCTGCGCTATCCTGTAATAATCAATGAGTACTTTTGGTTCGTCAAAGGGGTATTTTGAACCTTACTTCTCCAACGTTATAAAGATATGCATATGGATCTGCGCTTCCTGTAGCAAGCAGTACACTCTTTTCTTCCTTGAGCTCTTGAGGATCCAATAAATAGTCAGCTGGTGTCGTTGCAATGTCGATATCCCCGTAATCATTCGCCACAGAGTGTTTACTCAAGATGGATGAATTATCTAATAGATTGT